TACCTCAAAATGAACTCGTCCTGAGAATCACGTTTTGTTCCCGCAGGAAAGGAAATAGCCCTATTGTCAAACATATCAACCTCATTTGATGTTTCCTTATTGTGTTCATTTACAAGTAATGCATATTTATATTGCTTAAAATAACACTTAAATATAAGTTTGATTAGCAGTAATTCCATGCAATGAATATTTTTCATTCAAATGTGTACATGTACATTTGCCTTACGTTAAAAAATATCCGCTGAATTGAGGAAAAAATAGCCCCGATTGAGAAAAATACTCTGATAATTATATAGGATTTGTTACGTATAATCATATCAAATTGTTTACTAGAGTATAATAATTGGCATTTACCTTTTATTAATATCTTGACGAACATGGCAAATTTCAATTTGATTTACGAAAATACGCATTTAAAAATATTTTTACATTTACTATCAACACTCACTTTGTTGTTGTTTGTGTATTACAATTGAATGAATGTTTAACATTGATATTGTTGAGGCGTATTATAATAATATTTCAACATAACAAACGCCAAAAATTAATCACAAAGAGAATTAACAACTAATCATAAACAGTCTCAGGTTTATGTCAAAACGTCCGTTCAGTTTCACGACAGCTTAACGTTTTAACAATGTTCACATGGCTTATTCAATTAAACCTTTTGTAACTCCATCATTAATTAAATTTAACAATTCGTTTGGAACGAAATGGATTTTTCATGAAAATATTTCTGCACCCCTTAATTGATTAAAAGATAATTTTATAGTAATATTTATATTTATTTAGTTTATTAGAAATGAACCGGAATAAAAGACAAATACGTATGATTAAATAATGAGCCTACACATAGTCTCCCTTAACTAAGTACAAAATAATCAGGAGTAGGTTTAATAGGTACAAATAAAACAAAAACATAACATTTTTGCAAAAAAATGCTTAGTAAGCTATTAGGTGCAGCATTTAGTTTTATGTCGTGTTTTAAATAAATATCTGTGATACAATTAATTAAGGATATTCTTATAAAATTCGGTACTCAATTTTATAAAATCATCTAGCATATTGTTGTGTATTTGCCTCACATGACATGTTATAGAAACTCCAGCTGTGGTGGGAAAACCAACTAATGAATCAAGGGGTTTTACAGGGGGGGGGGGGTAGTGATGCAATATTAACAAGTCTATTTGCAAAGGATTGAATAATGTTTAGTTTGTATTTAATATACTAACACCTTCATATCCAAACAGTAATTTTTTATCCATCCTGTTGAAAATATATTTACCTACGACCGTTTTTTTAAGTAGCCATTTCAGTCCAGTTCTTAGAATTGAAAAGTTTCACTTTACAGCTGTTTACTTTCATATCCTCATAGTTTCATTTCATATCCGCATAGTTTTCTCATATCCACACAGGTAACGGACCAATGAGGTTCAAGTATTGAGAGAAAAGAATTAAAATTGTAATGCTTCGAACGTCAACTAATCAGCTGATCAGTTGACCAATTTAATTGTTGATCCGACTTGTTCATGTTGATACTCGCGTATTCTTAATTAAGTTGGTAGAAGTCCAAAAATAAATGAAATATTTGCCGAATTGTACCTGATACAATATTATTTATGGCAAGAATGCTGCTAGCAATGTAATATTTAACGAAGTTTAACAAACACGTAATTACAGGAAATCAGCTGATTATACAACAAGTCGTTGCATCACTTTCAGTGGCAATGACAATTACACGAAAACATAACCTCTCTAAAAAGTTATCAGTTCAGTAGTTATTGTTAGTAATTAAATCCAGATTGATAGTAATTAAAAAACGGTCGTAGGTATAGTAGTGTACGCAACTCGCGTTAATAGTCTTTACGACACTCGTAGAAGTTTTTAAGGCACTCGCCAAGGCTCGTGCCTTAAATTTTCTACTCGTGTCGTAAAGACTCACTTAACGCAATCGTTGCGTAAACTACTATTTCATCTCATGAAACGTGTTATATAACTTTTAAGTTATTTATTACGTATGTTTTTGTTTGCAAACGTCGTGTTAAACTAAACACTTGTGCCAGAAAATGTATAGATCCTTAACTTTAAGGCCTGCCTATGTACAGTATCTACATTCTAATTCTAATACTAATAGACTTTGATTTTTTTGTATTTTGGTCAATGTGTTTTGTTATAGAGGTTTGCTGACAGCGTATTGAAGTGACAACCCAACCATCATTCATATAAATGCCCCAGCCAGCCCCGTGTGGCGGTCATTAATATCTGCTGCCTCCCTCACTATGCTAAATTTACGGTTTGCGTTTTAAGCATTTTCAACTTGTCTAATTCATTAACAAGCCAAATGTCTTATTCACAAAGCCCAAATCTGTATACAGTAGGCCTATGTTATGTTCGGATTCACTAAGATCCTAGGTGTATTTTGCAATATCGCAATCCTGTATTTGATTAAATCAATAACGACAGGACTAGAACAAAATATCAAGATTATTTTAAAATAAGCTAACAAAAATCTTTTGTAGTCACACCATTGAGGAAGAAGAATAATTGTACCTAAGGTAGGCCTATCAACATTTTCCTTCCTACCATGTCCGTTACATATAGTTGTTTTGTTCGTGTCCGGATTATTGAATCACAATGGGATATTCGCTGTCAAATATCATTGACCATAGGTGAAAGATTGCAATCGTAACAGAAATTATCTCTGAAAATAAATTAGGTTATCATTGTTTGGTAACTTATTATTATTATTATTTAATATTATTTTGGCTACGTAACAAAATACAGTATAAATAATAATACTTGTACTAATTTACGTCTACAAAAGTAGTTAATATAAAAAAATAAATGTATATTCTTATTTACAAAGATCTCTAAAAGGGTTATTCCCTAATGCAGTGAAAATTTGTATACACTTTTAGACAAGATTAAAATTAGCTAAATAAATATATTAAATAATTTTTTTTTATTCGCTACAGATGTCTGTTTATTTAGAATCTATTCTGAATCGTTGATTTGTGTCTCTGGAAGCGGATCCATCCAAAGACACACAACTGCTGCAATAAATTACTGAAGGGAAACATACGACAGTTCTGCTTTGTATTGATTTGTAATAACCTTATTTCCTTGAGAGGGATTCGTCTGTTTGGATCGTCAATAAAAAGTGTTTTGTGTATAGACTATTGTTCTGCATTAGAATCGTATTGCAACAACATAATTTCCTGCAATATTGTCCTAGAATAATAGATCGGTTTATTATTCCCAATAATTCCTTTTAAATGTACTTGGCTAGGTCAGAAATTATATTTACTTACTATTATCTAGTGTTATACTTACCTTAAAAAGCATTAAACAAATTGTAGCTGGTATTGAGTTGTTATTGGTTTTGTTATAACTTAAAATTAATAATGTGTTACATAATCTGTCAATATACTAATCTTGTTGATTAAAGGAACGTTCGATATTAAATATGGGTTCAAAGAGCACTGTGAAGTAATGGTGTGGTCAATAGTTCAGATATAATGTTTTATAAATCATCAAGGGAAATCAAGCGGTTTTGGTCTTTAAGCAAATCGTCCTTTTTCCTCAAATCTCCCTATAGGGAAGTAGTTATCACAGTAAGACCACTCAGAACCAATTTACTTTTTTTCATTTTGAATATGTATGTACAAAAAAATGCACACAATATGACGTGTCCCTACTACAAACCATAATTGATCAAATTAATTGATACTTTAATCATCAAAATCGGTCCAGAAATTAGGGAGGAGTTCTGTTTGAAAAAATCGGGTTAGCGTATTATATGTATAGATTTTTACTACATAAATACTGCAAAGAGTATTTTTTTCATATCAAAAAACTAAACCTGTTTTTCCTCGTAGAGAGATTCATAACTGTATTATTAAGATAAACAAGAAGGATTACGTGATTTGCAGTATAATAAGCTCTGGAATAGACAATACTGACCTGGGCACTGTGGGTAGAAGTGCTTGTAGAATATTAATAAGACGAGTACTTGCTGAACACTGCTGTGTAACTTATTTTACGTAAGAGGATTATCATCAGCAAATTTGTTTATAAAAATTATACTTTGAAGCTCGATTGAATCTACTTTATAGTACGTGATGGCACATGATAATTTCAATTCAAGCAAATGAGCCATTTTTGAAATATGTTCTAAATCGTTTATAGTATAAACCCCCTTTGAATAAGGTTTAAAAGAAGGGTAGTTTCCCACAAGACATGAAAACCTCAGAGACTGATAACTTTTACATTTACGTTCGAACGAGAAATTTATCCTGGAAGAGTAATCTGAATTTGACAGATCCACGACATATGTACATATCAAATCCTCAAACTTCTGTGAATAATTCTCGATCAAAACCAATCGTAAGTGATGTGAAATGTTTCATATCCAAACATGAAGGCATGTCATGTTTCATATTTTGCCTGAAGGATGGTTGGAGTAAGATATTTGTGCGAAGTAAATATGAGAAAGATTTCATACTGTAGATTTGTGTGATTCGCATGGTAAAATATTATGAAAAACTAGTAAACCTTAGAAACATCCTTTTATTCCCCAGGTTTTAATCAATTTACTACAATTTAGTGAATTCTGCAAAAATTGGGTTGCAATACAGACGTTATGTTATGGGTCAGGCGTATGGTACTGTTTTATTTAAACTTAAACTAATTAAGGTTTTACCAAAACTTAATTATAGGCTACTGTGAAAATAAATTAATATATTTTGTTTAATTCAATTTGATGCTATTGATGCGTAGTACATGGTAATATAACATTAAAAATATATTTTATTATTTTATTTTGTCAAGAAGGGTTCAAAAATAATATTAAATAGTTTTAAGAATAGAATATGTTCAATTTGCCTTGTATCTTTTTCTTGAATTATGTCAAAGTTTTACTACAAACAAATATTAATATTTACAGCTACATGCAGACATTAGAGGTTCAAATAACAGATACCCAGTATTTGTTACGAATTTTATTTTACCAAATATAATCATCATTGTAACTGTTGGTTGCTATTTACAATAAATGTGCAATACACCTCTAACTACAAAGTTATTGTTTATTTTATAATAAATTATGTATTTTCAGTTCTTCCGTTGGCTGTACCTAAGTTTATAGTGCATGTTATAAAACTAAGGACTACAATAAAACAAATGTTTAAACTTTAACAAGCCGTTTACGTACAAAATGGCTTAATTCTATATAGTCATACCATTATTCAATTCGAAATTAGTGTGGTTCCAATTTAGTTTTATTTTCTCAATTTATTACGTCTAATAAATTTGTTACACTTTTTACTATACGGAGCTTTTTTTAAAAGAAAGAAAAATCTCTCACCTTATCAACGTAGGTTTTTTTTAATACCCCAACCGATTTAAATTCCCTCATAAATTTATGTGTTATTTGTCATGTTATTATCACATAAACAACCAAAACCAGCAGTTATTGTTTGCGAGGGTATAAACCTGCCCTTCAGACCGTGTCTTGGTTGAAACTAGTACTTCCGCTCGGTCTTAAGTGGTCTTCTTTCATAAATACTGTTTGTTCAATACAGTGCTTTGGCCATTTACTCTATAAAAATCAAACCGAAAGTGCAAAACAGCGTGTGGAAGATCAATATGTACCTCTTAAACATTGGTAAGCAAAAGAGAATAGTTTTGTAATTATTGTATGTCAAAAAATACAAACCAGATACGTTTTGGCTAAGTAATCTTTGAAATTTAAGGACAGTAATTAACATTGTATTAGATATTTGTACAGCCAACAATATAAATGTGTTTTTATTTATATTTTAAATCATAAACAGAATGAATGAGGCACAACGTTACTATATCAGTAATAACATAGAAAATACATTGCTTGATCATAAAATTCAATTAGTAACCTTAAAAAAATTTATATTGATACCCAATTGTATGTTGTTTGATTAGGGGGAAAAATAGTCAAAAATACAATACTTATTTATTTAAATAGTTTTTTTTATGCCAAGGAAAGTATTTATATCATATACAAATGAATGTATTTTTAATAATTTTGGCATTTTCAATACCCCAAGCTTAACAGCCCTTGTAATTATTCGTGGCCTTTTATGCCACAATCAAACTGTTTATGCTCAAACATAACGCTATGTTTCATCTAAGAACTTTATTAAACACAATTAACAAATTACACTTATGGTAATAAATATTGTAATTTAAGTACAAATGTTCATCGTATTTTTACCTTGGCTTATCTAATATGTACATGTAAGTTCTCAGTGACATGGTATCACAATGTGAATATTTTATAAAACAATCTTTGAAACTATTTACATAATCATACATATTTACACAAGTTTCAACACAATAATTATCAAACACATCTGTCTTAAATTAATTTAAGAATTGTATACTTTTTTTTCAAGATAAATAAAAAATTTTTGTTCGTTAAATTAATATAGTGGATATGAAAAGCTTAAACATATGACCATTACATAATTTTCTCTCAGTAGTCATTCTTAGAAAATAAACTTAAAAATTACGATGGTTTGTTCAGATAATAAATCATAATTTTACGCTATATTACACGTATTTATCACAGCGTGATTTGACTTAAAACCATTAATATGAATTTATTTCAACAGTGTCTAGAATTAAAATACAATATATAGCAACAAAAAAACTAGGCCTCAATAATAATGTTATACATATTTAATAAATAAATCTACAGTATTGATTACAGTATTATAAATTGATTCAAAACTATAAGAAATGTTGTATTCCATACTAAATGACACAAGAAGGTAAAATTAAAGTGTACGAAAATTTTTCCAATGTTATTCACAAAAGAAACTTATTCCGAAAACAGAATAAAGTAAAATTAAGCTTTTTAAACACAGTAAGTTGTCTTTTAAGATAAACATCTTAAATGCCGATTATTTTTACATATTTATCGTTGTTATTCTTTCAAAAAATCATCATATCTTACATAAAAAACTTTGTTTTTCAATAATAGCTGAGTTCAGATTTCTAAGTTAAAATTACAAACATAAGCTATAATACTAAACACTTCACCGAATCCTTGCTTGACGCGTCTGAGTAAAAAAAATAAGTAGGAAAACATGAATTAAACATATGGAAAAAACCCAAGTTTCCACAACACAACGAAACATTATTGTGTACCTAAATTACATTTCATTTGAGCACTTCTTTATCATAAATTGTTCAGTTATAAAAATATTGCTCAACGATCGCCATGTTAGTGGTGGAGGCGTCACATTTCCGTGTTGTCGGGGTCACCCTCATATCCCTCGTCAGGACTCTCAGTTAGCACGGGTGGCCGGGGGTGTGGTGGGGGGAGGGAGGCCTTCTCTGATTGGTCGGACGTCTGAGCCGCCACACTACATTGGGTAACAGTCTTAACTGAGTCTGTCGAAGTCTCCGGCCATTGGGCCGCGACGTCCTTGGGAGCCGGCTCACTCTTATAGGCAGCTGGTGGTGACGGTAGTAAGAACGGTTCTGCGAAACTCGTCTGCGTTTCTGTCGAGTACGGTGGAGGACCGCAAGGGTATCCCTCGGCAGTGTATCTTATGTCATTGCTGTAATGTTCATACGAGGGTGGGTGAATGGACTTTGACAGGAACTCAGCTTCCCTGGAATATCTACTGGCTGGATTCGCTGCGTTTTGTCTCGGTTTGTGAGGAAGAGTACGGTAGAACGCAGCTGGGGGCATCGCAGTGACGGAAAAGTGAGTAGGGATTTTTGGTAGACCGTAGTCAACAGGGTAGCCGTCGTTGCCGATGAATTTTCTCGGGGATAGTTGCACGTCTTGCATGTTAGGGTAGATTTCTCTACTGCCGGATATTCCTCTTGATAGAGATGCGACGTTCGGAAGTCTTTGGTTCACGTCTCTCCATTGAGAATTGGGTTGATTCTTGAATTCGTCGACGCTGCTACCAGTAGCACTTTCACCATCAGTGCCGTTTAGAATATCATTAGATTTCAACCTGCCTTTGCTACTCTCGGTGTCGTTTAACAGGTCGGGATTTTGTTCCACTTGGTAGGTCTTTAACATGCTTTGCATCCCGAAGGGGTGAAGACTGCTTAGATTGTTTGGAACGACAATCATCCCCGCGTCTGTGGACAGCAGCATCATATCGTGTGGTTGGCCATCTGTCAATATTACTGACCCGTTGAGTTTTGAGTTTCCTAAAGGATTTATGGTTGAGTTTATCCTCGTCATTTTTTCGGAGCTTTCCCGCATGCCAGGAGCCTTTGATGTTTGTTGGTTTAACGCAGCGACTTTACTTCTATCCTTCTTCCTCTTCTTTCTTCTCTGTTTCCTACATCTCAGGACGCAAATGGTGACGAACAGAATGAAGAAAATTGCGACCACGGACACTACTCCGGATATCAAAATGATGTATTCATACGGGAATACCGCTATTCCCACAAGAGGCTCTTCTTTAAGTACGATTCTTATGGTGAAGTTCGATTGAGATTTCCCTGCTGGGTTTTCCGCAATACAGACGAATGTTCCGTTGTCATCGATGTTTGTGTTGAAAATAAACAGTTCGCTTTTCTTTTCTATACCACCTTCTTCGACGAAGTAGTACAAGTGAAGACCGGGAGCTACCATTGAGTCGTTTTGTAAAACTGTTCCTTGGAACCACCACGACACCTTGGCTTCTGGAATAGCCGAAACCCTGCAAAGGAGAGAAACGTTCTTGCCCTCTGCTATCTCCAAGTACAGGGTTGTTGGTGTCACGTCCGGTAAACAGGCCAGCTCGTTCTGTTCCAAACTGTTTATCAACCTACCCTTGAGTCGTAAGGGCGAATTGCACTTAGGCTCCACAGTTTGGGGTACTCTATACCTAACCATCCAGTCTCTAAAATCAACGAGACGACAGTCACACTGCCACGGGTTGTTCTGGAGGGATATTCCATTGAGTTTCTCTGGAAGAATATTGGAACCTCGTATATTCATTATTCTATTTTTATCCAGTTTCAGCCACTCTAAGCTCTCAAGGCCGTTGAACGCGTCATCTTCAATAACTTCCATTTGGCAATCAGTCATTTCCAACGTCGACAAGAACTTAAGAGGTTGAAACGAAGCCGACTTTAGGTACCTTATCGGGTTGTTGTTCAGCGTTAACCGCATCAACGCTGGGTAGTCCAAAAACGTCTCGGTGGGAACTGACGTAATGTAGTTAAACGATAGGTCAAGTTCAACCAGATTCGTCAGCCCTCTGAAGGCTCTGTCATCAATCTGACTTATTCTGCATCTCGGTAAGTATATTTTTTGCAAGTTTGTCAAGCCCATGCGTTGAAACCTCTCCCGTGGTAGAAGCTTAAGATTGTTGCCGGTGAAATCAAGAACCTGCGTCCCTTGATCCATGCCATCAGGTATCGTGATCAGGTTCTTATTGATACATTCGATGGTTTGTTTTCCTCCTTTCCATTTACAGACGCATGACGACGGGCAAGCGATTGCTGTGCCGACTAGCAACACCAACACTATCCACGATATCATATTCAGAAGGAATTCCATGTGGGTTTCAGCTTCATATTGTTTCTACATTTTCACCTTACAACAATAACCATTCATTACCAGTTTGTCTTTTACCTTTGTACAAACTTATAAATACGCATAAATTATTGTTCTTAGCTATTCATAAATTAATTGTTGTTTTTATATTTCTTCTTTGGTCTCGCAGTGCTTCGCAGTTTTCTTCTGTATTCAGTTGGCTGAATCCATCGTTGTTCTTTCGTTGGTGTACTGCTCTCAATCTGAAACAAAATCGATTTATGGTTTTAAAAGCGGTTTAAATTCACAATAGTAAATTTATTTTGTTTAAATTTCACGGCTATCAAATCAAGATGAGAGAAAAGTCGTACGCAGCTTAATATACCTCAAGAACAGTAAACTTTATCATGATTTCCCCACTTTTACACTTTAATATACATTATTACTCATTTTAAACGTAGGAATGGAAGAAGAACAGCACAATTTAACGAACATTTGAAAAGACTCGACATTATAGTAACCCTCATGGACGGTCCAAAGTAGATTTTTTTTTTATTGTTAGTGTTAATAATTTATTAGTTATGTATTTATGTGTTGTGAAAACCGTGTGAAGAGTAGATCTACTGTCAGATATTTTATTCATTATCTTCCCTGCATAACCAAACAGGAAATGAGGCTTACACTTTGATATCTACACAAAGCTAGCAGTCAATGCAAGCAATGACAGTCCAAAAAAAATCGTTTTCCAGAGTGATTTTTTACTGTGTAACTATGGTGTACAGTTGACTTTGGAATACATCACGGTTGGTTCAAAAACCATAAAGATGAGTTTGCCAAACCAGTTTTATGATTCGGGGGACATTATTTGCTGCAACCAATAATGAAGCCCACCAGCCATGTAGGTAGAGCCGGGCGTAAACTCATAAATCATCAGTTTCCCGCTCAGTATTGATTTTCACCCTGCCCGCTGTACTACCTTAGCCCCTTGAAAACCCTTAGTTTGTCCCCACCAGTAACATTGATTGGAAAAGAGTAATGTTCTAAATATGTTTGTAATGTTAATTTTTGGGGTCTGTTTCTACTTGAGATCCTTATTTGGGGGGGGGGGGTTAGTCTGTTTCTATTTGAGATTTCAGTTTTCAAGGTGTGGTTCAAAATCCTTTTATGTATTCTATTCTATTTGTATATTCCAAAAATGGTATGAATTGCCTACTTGTTACAGGCTTATACTGTAAATAAAGTAGTTATGACTTAGAATACTAGATAAAAGTCACACATGGATTTTAAATAACCAGTTTTTTGTTCTATGTTTTCCGTTCCAAGGAAAATTACTGTGAAGGGACTTTATAAGTAATAATAATAACATTAAATATATGAAACACTGTTCCGATAGATATTTGGACAAACAAGTGTCTTTAGTATTCAGAAAATATTTTCCCCTTAAACGTTCATACGTATTCAAATCAACCTTTCATTGGCATATTTGTGTTTTATTTAGTTTGCTAGTTAATTTCTTTTTTTTTACTCAAACCATTCATAGTATTGTACTATTTTAATAAAGGGATTTTATAGGATTTACCTAAGCTTCCAGTAACAAAACAAAGCCCCAGATTAGTTCCAAATAGGTCAAATCTATTAAGACAATACTGTTATGTCTCTGATACTAAAGAGCTAATCCATCCATACTTTGTAAAATGTACTTAACTTCATTTCGGGCAAATGTTTTATAGTTTAAAATATATTGTAAATAACTCAATTGTTTTCTTTTAAAATACATAGGCCTTTAACAAATATTATGAGTACAGTAAAATAAATGCTTTTAAGATCATAAAAACTCGTAAAATTATGTATATGAGGCATTCAGAGTTTTTAATTTTTCTGTGTCTTAGCTATGTAAATATCTTACACATTTTAAAGTTTCTAGCATACGGCCTGCGAAATGTAGCACTAAATAATATAGTTCAATTATTTTAATTGTTTACCCCTCTTAAATTTTTCGGAAGAAAATGTTACACCAATACTTTTTTGTTATTTAGTTCGTCTTGCGTTATTTACAACTCCTCTTGTATACTTTTTTTTATGATCCACAAACTCTGCTTGGAATTCACTAAATTTTAAAATATTTTGGGAGTAACGTTAAATAAAGTATTTTAATATTTTTTTTAAAGTTGATGGATTACACTTTGCTTTTAAGTATAAATCTATCAACTATAAATACAATTTTGAAAGAAGTAAAATCAAGATAAAGAATAGAATCAAACTACTTACGTATCTCAACCCGCCCTAGTTTCGTTTGACTTCGGTGTAGCCTTTTTATTCAGGATCTGAAACAATAAATTAAACTATTTAGGTAAACAAAAGACAGTCTATATGATCACAGTGATAAAATTCAACTTTTTTTAACTCTGTAATAAGGCATATTTTATGGTGTTAAGTTATTATTTATAACCAAGAAACTCCTTAGAAGAAACTCCTTTTAAAGTCAACTTTAAGAATTGTTGTTAAATAGAAACGATATCTCGTTCTTAAAGCTATTAATAATTATGAACAGCGGTTTAAATAATAACAGGTAATATGGAAAATATATTTTAGCTATGTATTAATTTACTTTACTTTAAAGATGCTTTTATTACTATTCAAAACTTTTGATTCAATTAGTTATAGTTTTATTTTAAGACATTACAAACTTTATTACGATTCACATTATTTCTGAATATTTCGATTTGTATATTTGACAGGGTAAGCCTAGTAGACGGTAGAACGCATTTCCAAAATGCCCAACTAAGAATTAAATATTTTTTACTCATGGGAACTGTACTAAATCTAAAATAAAGTACCATCAGTTACTAATTCATAATACAAAAACAAACAAAAACCTCGATGTAAGAAAATCTTTCATTTTAACTGTTAGGATTCATGTATAATTCAGAATTTCTGTGAGTTAAAAGAAGAAACCTTTTGAAATTTATTAATTAGTAAGGTTTTTTTTTTATTACAGCCTATTTCAATAATTATTATATACCGTTTATAAAAACAACATTTAAAAGCCACCGAAATGTATGGGAATATGAAAAATGAATTACTTTTCGTATCTCTAAACAACAGACCTTATATTTACCCACTCATTAGTGCATGAATGTGTTCTTTTGTTAATGCAATGAAAAGCTTTAAAGTATTCAAACTCACTAATGAATCTAAGCATTTATATTCTTTTTACTTTTCCATCCCTGATGATTTAAATTAATAATTATTCCTAATTATTGTTTTGAATGTGTGTTTGAAATGTCTCCACTTATAATAGTTTTCATGTCTCTTGCAGAAGTTATTTTTGTTCAATTAAATAAGTTTAAATTGAAAATCTTAAACTTGAAAACACTGTATAGCCACTATTTTCAAACCAATAACTCTAAATATAAAAGGTGTATACCTTAAAGAAAACAATAAACGTTTTCATAAAGTCAATCGCAATATATTTTTCAAATCAACATGTGTAAATATAATTAATTTTCACTATCAAGTTTTATCCACGTGGTTGTTAAACTATACACATTTTTAGAGATATAAAAGGAGGAACATAATGTATGCTCTTAACCTTAAATATATTTTATAGTTATCGTTATAATTTATAAATAATATTTATATATTACACATGATTTTTTTATTTTTAATTTAAACACATACAACACATAATACATGCTGTTTCCCTTCATAAATACGATAATGGAATAGCGGGTTAAATTAATAAAAAAAAAATTCATGTAGAAATATTTGTTAGGACAGAATATACGCATTGCGGCATGTAATCTCATAATGGCCGTCCGAGCCAGTTAACAGGCTAGCACTGGTGCGGTCATACCAACCTCACTCGCGGAATCATATTTTCTGCAACGCTTTATACTTTTTATTTTCACCGAGTTGGTTTATTATATTAAATTCCTTGCATTTTCTTAGAAAAACGTCCACGTTAGTCATGTTTGACTACGTGAAAATAGTTTAAAGAATCGCACAGTACAATAATGAAAACACGGGATTCAATATAGCGTTTGAAAACGCTAAGATTTAACATGTTTAAAAAGTCAACAGTAAATTTAAAAACCCAATTACACATAATGTAAAAAATTGTCAAAGGACTCATATAAGACAAAGACATTAAGTTACTTATTTAGTTAAACAGGTCAAAACACATGTATTCTACAAGCAAATGACTAGCTTCTGCTGGCCGAAGCTGTATATAAATAAAACATTAGGCAGATTGAATTGAACAGTTTGTTCTTATTACTTGTTTTGTACTTTGCTTAACATCTCCGTACGTCAATCGTACAAAATATGTTATACATTACAGACAGTTTTCTATTCCCCTTGAATTACTTACCACAAATAGAACAATTTTTAAATTCCATTTTCCAACATTAGTACATATTTTTTAAAGTTATTACCTTGTATAACCAATGCTGTATTAAAAAATAACAAGAGATACACGTGTTATATGAAAGATTAGTTTATTGTTGCGTTCATATACTGTAGTAATTTTATATGAGATTAGATTACAACTCTATGCTGGCTTCCCTTTAAAGGGGTTTCGTTTAGTGAAAGGAAGAAACTCCTTTGTAATGTTAAATTCAGACTATGTTTGTATAAGTATTATTATTTTTTTTATTTCTCCAAATCCAGTACCAACTATGCGTTTTATGTAAAATATAGAGATCAGATTATTAATTGATATTCTGATTGTAAGTCTTTTCGTTTTAATGCTAATAGATGTATTTCAACAGTAGGAACTTATCCCACTGTTGAAATACGAGGTGACAATATACTGTCCCACATTGGTTCTGTTATACACATGTAAATTATCACTGAGGCAGACCACGGGGTGGGTATACTCCCGGAATATTAATCAGGCTTATCGGACCCCCTGAACATGCTGAGAACCATTCGTTGAAAACTGCAATCCATTCGTTCAACTTTAGAGGAACTTTACAATATGTTGAATTAAATATTGGATTGTGACAAATGTTTGCTAATGTTAACTGAAATTGTTGCATTTCGTGATGTGTTTCTTGTTATATTGTACCATTACATCTTTAACACATTCCCTACCGACCGTCACACTCTTCTGTACCTGAGGGATGAGTATGGTTGATAGCTAATGTGTTAACACGTTTCCTACCGACCATCACACTCCTCTGTAACTGAGGGATGAGTATGGTTGATAGCTAATGTGTTAACACGTTTCCTACCGACCATCACACTCCTCTGTAACTGAGGGATGAGTATGGTTGATAGCTAATGTGTTAACACGTTTCCTACCGACCATCACACTCCTCTGTAACTGAGGGATGAGTATGGTTGATAGCTAATGTGTTAACACGTTTCCTACCGACCATCACACTCCTCTGTAACTGAGGGATGAGTATGGTTGATAGCTAATGTGTTAACACGTTTCCTACCGACCATCACACTCCTCTGTAACTGAGGGATGAGTATGGTTGGTAGCTAATGTGTTAAATTTTAAAACAAAGAGCCGCCGTAAAATATAAAAAAAAAACTTTTGTTGAAATATATTTTGCACTGCTATTGATTGAATTGTATAAACATTCTGAAACATCCAATGAAGAAACAAGGTTAAAGCATTAAAAAAGATTCAATTAAAAAAATAAGTTGCTGAAAAAATGGTTTAGCACCAATAAGTGTGGTTCTTGAACTGAATTAGGCCAATTTGCCTTTAAACCCTGATGAATGTAATAACCACTTCGGGATCTGGGACAGGATAATATTTTATCTTGTCAAATTAATCTCATACTCAATATTTTTCAGATAACTCCTTTAATGAAGTGTCCTTCGGTTTTGTTCTATAAATAGATAAGTACATATTCTATGAATAGATAAGTACTATGAAAATTAGATTAAGGAATACAATAATCAAGGGTTAGTTCAACGTTTTCTTGCCAAACCCGAGTTCTTCTTCCTGGATTCATATACAATTTTGCAACATTTATCCTAAGAATATAACAATTATGTAAACTCATCCGGAGATGTATCATGTTCTTAAATTTATAATGTAATAAATATACATGAACACTAATTTAGTTAAGAAACTAAGTAGTTGGTAAATTGTGAAGGTCGTTATCAGGTTTTAGAGAAAGAAGTTAACCATTTGTTGAACTTCGCTGTTGTCAAAGACAACGTTTATTTATTTGCTTTAATAAAACCACTCAACCACGAAAACCTCCATACAATTTGTGTCCAAAATGCTTAGTGTGAGTGTTGGAGAAACGTGTAGTAACCTACAACAAAATTGGAATGACTGAAGGTAACAACCAAAGACGGCAAAAGAGAGTTTTGTTATTAATTGTGTATTTTTTAACTTCGTAAAGATATACGCTTGTGGAAAGAAATGTATTTTTTCTCGTTTAAAAGTTACTCTTTTAGTAAATGAACTTAAATTTAATTATTGATCGCACTTAACTATTTCACTTTAAGTCACAACAAATTTTTATTAATCTGAACTCAACTCTCTTGTCAAATGGCGTTTGACGTGTATGTAATAAATAAATAAATAAATAAATAATTAAATAAATAATTAAATAAATAAATAAATAAATAAATAAATAAATAAATAAATAAATTAGTAAATAAATAAATAAATAGTTATTTATGTAACTAGTAGTCCTGAGTTTTTGTTGACAAAATACCTTGTTCCATAAGTCTGCAGAAAAATCAACTGTTTTCCATTCATGCTTAGCCCGTCTAAGGTAGATCTCATCCTTCTTAAAGAATCAACAGGAATAATGGACATATGATGACTAATTTTCAGATTTTAAAATTAATCTGCTACATTTGCTTAAGAAAATAGTTTCGATTTATTAAATGTTGATGCTATAAATTAAGAGTAGGTCTATACATATTCTCGACCGTATTTTAAGTACTCGATAAGTCTCGCACCTCAAACATATAGTTTCTAAATGTAACGACTCACTTTCTACTCTTGTTATGAAATATACTATTGTGACAAAAATTATTAAGGTGATATACGAAACTATCGCTGTAAAATGTGTCCGTCTTAAACAATAGCACAGTATAACAAAATGCTGTAAGTTCATCTCACGGCCATGATTGTTGTAGGTTTTCATACGGTATAAACAGTATTTTAATTTATTCCATTTGAAATTTAAAATTATACTGATTAATTTAACTTTTCTAAAATGTAAATATAAACCTGCTAAAGTGAAAATTTCAAGCCAAGAGTTGTCAGGTATTGCAGTTGAGACTGGCTCGAAGGCGAGGAAACTAATAAGAACGTCACATCGTTGAAGATTGCATTTCT